TAGCATTTAGGACCTCATTGTGATCTGGCCTCATCTTGACATTCCAACCCTGTTTGCCACTGTTAGCCTTAATGTTACCGTTCACTCCCAGCTACATGGAATTATAGATAGTTCAGCCACAACATATTGGGAAACAAAAAGGGTGAAGGTTCTTCAGATTATGATCATCTTGCTAATTCTTCAGGTGCAATTTTATATTCTTGCAATATAGAGAACATGGAAGCAAAAGGAAAATGGTTTCAAATCAAACTATAGCTAAAGTTTGCCATATAGTACCCCATACAGATTAATGACTTTAAAATTTTAAACTCTACTGTTATATGGGCTAGAAAAATAAAACAAATGATTTTTGACAAAAGTGCAAACAAAGCTCTGTCCCCCAAACAAAAAAAGATCAATGGTATAAAAGGAATAACTTTTTGACACAGGTGTGGAGACTGCCAATTCACCATTGCTGTCATCTCACAAGTTCTCGTGCTTTTTAGGAGAGCTAAATCCCTCTTCATGCCCTTTTCACCAACATGTTCTGTTATTGAGCTATATAGGTATTTCTTATAACTCTCACTCCTCCTAGCCATAGGCTATATGGGCTGCTACACAAACTGATTTAGGTATTCAACACCTGCCCTCTGCTCTCCTCCCTTTAAACTTACAATTCATTATTCATTTTTAATAGTTTTTCTCTTTGAGTAACTCCAAGATTCCATTTTTTTTAAGTTTTTCTGTTATACTTGGACACTGACTGACTTGATCACATTTTCACATAAGTAAAATTTCAAATGATACAAAAGTTGCAGATTCTGAATTTCTGATTATCTCTTTCTCTCTTCCTCTTCTACATAGCAACATAGACAGTTCATGTGAAACCTAACCCAGACAGGCTAAGCTAGTCAAAAACTAACAAAGGACTAAATCAATGATTTCTTAAAGGCTCTTTGAAACCTGTGATTTGGATTAAACAGTGTGATTTTAGTAAGGAATTGAGGAGGGCAAATTAGGGATGTCTCAGCATGGTCCACCTTAGTCTACCAGACTTCTGTATTCAGTTTTGTGTCTTATTTCTTTGGGGAAAAATATTACTCTCCTCTTTCTCAGTAATTTTTCTGTGTATGTATTTGTTTGGGGGATTTCAAGGGAAAGAGTGAAACATAAATAAATTTTTCTAGGTTAAACACTGTAATATAACTCCCTAATGTAAACCGAATTGATAATCTTAGTAATTTTTGACTAAGCAGTTTTTCTTAGTAATCTTTCTTATGGTACTTTAAGCCAAACTAAATTTGGAATATTTTGTGAGACAGTTTTCTATTTCCTCTTGTTCTCTGTATCAAAATGATTTCTTTTCTAATCAGTCTGTGAAAATCCTCTCCATCTTTAAGGATATACCTAAGTTTAACCTCTACTTTTATAATTATAAACTTTAATTTTTTTTAAAGTTTATAAATAATTTCGTATGAAGTGTTCCACTTGGGTTAAACATTGAATGAACAGAGTAATAAAAACATCAATAAAAAAAAGGAATAACTTTTCAACATGTTGTGTCAGAACAAATGGATGTCTAGATGCAAAAGATGAACTTGGATCCCTATCTCATAGCATATACAGAAAATTACCTCAAAATATATACATGTATGACGACCTATGTGTAAAACATAAAATATGAACTTGTAGAAGAAAGCATAGAACTCAAAATTTATTCTAGAACAAACTGAGGAACTGGACTTCATCAAAATTGAGTACTTCATTTATTCAAAGACAGAGTTGAGAGAATAAAGACAAGCTACACACTAAGAGAAAATCTTTGCAAATCATATAAATATATAGGATTTGTATCCAAAATGAATTCTCAAAATTCAACAATTAGCAAATAACCCAATTAAAAACAAAAAGTGGGCAAAAGAGTTCAACCGACACTTTGCAGAAGATACATATGTGGCAAATAAACAAACAAAAAGATTGTTCAAAAAAAAAAAAGGAAAAGATTGTTCAACATCATTTATCATTAGAGAAAAGCAAATTAAAATTATAATGATACCATACATGCCTATTTGAATGTTTAAAATTAAAAAGGCATACCCTGCCAAATGTTGGCAAAGAGAGGGAAGAAAAGGAGCTCTCAAACACTCCTAGTAGGAATATAAAATGCAACAACTACTTCAGAAAAAGTTTAGTATTTCCTTAAAAAGTTAAACATACTCCTACCTCATAATCGAGCTGTTTTACTCTTGTAGATCTACACAAGAGCAAAGGAAATATACAAGGTCTGATATTTAATCACAAACAGATCCTAGAAAAAGTGCTGCATATCTCATTGCTGAGTGCCCCTACAGTCACCTTCAAAGTGCTTCCCTTAGGAAGCTGTGAACTGATACCAACACCTAGTCAACCCTTGAAAGCAATTTTGGAACTCTTTCTGGAGTGCCCATCAGAGCAGTTTTGTATTACCCTGGATGCCCTGAATGTCATCAAAATGTCTTCCTTTCAATATTTTCTTTAAGGTAAAAGAAAAGTCATTGGGGGCCAGACCAGGTGAGTAGGGAGAGTGTTTTAATATAATTGTTCACTTGCTAAAAATTCCCTCATAGATAGTGTGTGAGCTAGTGCACTGACATGATGGAAGAGCCATGTGTTTTTGGCTAAGATTTTCAGTTTAAATTTTCCTGTTTCTCTTTTGATGCTTCCTATGTGTCTCACAGTCAACTGATGATTCTGATGCACAATTCGATGAATTTTTACATTGTTTTCATCAGTTCTGCTTATTACTGGCCCCTGACTTCTCTTCATCAGTGACAGTTACCCTCCCCTCCAAAAAAAGATTTAATCCATTTGCGCACTGCCGTTTTCTTCATGATATTATCCCCTAAACTTGGACTAACACGTCTCTGATTTCACTTCTCCTCTTGGACTAACATGTCCCTGATTGTACTTCTATTCTACCCTTGCCAAGTTTAATAAGAAACTTACCAGTGTTTGTTGCTCTAATGAAGCTCTGACATTCCCACAACAGCACCCAAAAACAACAATGAACACCCCTCAGCAGGACACTGTCACAGACTGACCTGTGCACAGCTGTGAGACAATGATATATCAAGGTTATGAAATGTTACTGAATTGTTTAACAGTGCTACCAACATAAGTGCACAGTGGCAAGTTTGATGACTTAATTGTCAGGCCTCATACATGCATGCAAAAATTTGTACATCAATTTTCATACCAGTTTTGTTTGTTACAGCTAAAAACTGCAAACTCAAATGTTTATCAGCAGATGAATGAATGTATAAAACAACTGGAAAATCCATAAAGCAGACTACTGCTGACATGGTTGAATTTCAAAATATGTATTAATTATGCTCAGTGAAAGAAGCTAGAAAAAATTAAATATACTGTATGATTTAATTTATATAAAACCATGGGAAATGCAAACTACTCTGTAATTAACAAATCAATCAGCTTTGAGAGAGATGAAGATCACAGGAGAAAGAAACTATGGAAGGGTACAAAAATTATCAGAGTACAAGGAAACTTGTTCAAGTGATAGATCTGATAACTATCTGGATTGTAATATTTGGAGTTATAAAAAAGAGTAAAGTTTAAGAAAAACCCTGGCTTTGCTGAAGAAACTTTTCCTCTGTCATTCCTTTAAGTGAAAAACAGGAAGCCAGTACTGGAAAGAAATTTGAAACCTTGGATAATTTCTTTAGTTTTCTTTGGTTCTACTTTGGGTAAACGCCCACCTCTAAAATGTTCATGCCATATCCAAACGAAGCCTGTGCACACCTCTAAAATGATAGGAATTCAGCATTAGTACCATATCTCTGTTATGCCTAAAAATATTTGGTTAGAAACAGCTAAATATTGTTATTTGATTAAAATTTGAGGAAACATAGACTTGTTTTCTGAACTACCTAGTTATATATATTTTGTATTTTTTTCTTACAGCAGGCCTCCCTTTTGAAATAAGAGTGTATAATTTTAAAAAAAGACATCTTAAATAAAAAAGATAAAGCTAAATGAAAGTATAGGAGTATTTTATGTATTTATATAAATGTACAGTGATTGTTTGAGTTTCACAAGCTGCAGATGTATGCCATGATCATCTAAACAGCACTATTTTTAATATAATTTCTATCTTAAAAATATTCCATTAACTTAGAATGAAAGAACTGACATTCACATTTTGGAAATTAAAGGTGCTTTTTTTTGACTTTTGTATCTCAGGCTATATATTTTGTAGTAAATCAAAGACCAAAAGATTGATTTTGAAATATATGAATATGCTGTTTCAAAGTTAATTTTGTGTAAGCTTTATGTGAGTAAACAGTTTATCATAAAGATATGCGTTAAAACAGCATTGTTGATTTAAAAACTTAGAATAATTCTTGGCCATATTAGTGTGGAGTATTAAAAGTTTTGTATATTTTGCCAAATAGTCTATTATTTGAGAATATTTATGTCCAAAATACTTTATAAACTATTGATTTCAATTACATGTTTATAAAATATTTCCAAATCTGTAAAAGTCCTTTTAATTAAGATGGGTTATATTAAAACAAAAGTCTTTTTTTTTTGAAACAGAGTCTCACTCTGTCACCCTTGGTAGAGTGCTCTGGCATCACAGCTCACAGCAACCTCAGACTCTTAAGTGATTCTCTTGTCTCAGCCTCCTAGTAGCTGAGACTACAGGCACCTGCCACAATGCCAGGCTGTTTTTTGTTGCAGTTGTCATTATTGTTATAGCTGGCCTTGGCTGGGTTCAAACCTGCCAGCTTTGGTGTACATGGCTGGCACTGTAACCACTGTGCTACGGGCATTGAGCCCAAAGTCATTTTTATTTGTTTAATTAGACTATAGTTCTACAAAAGAGGGTTCTGAATAGTGAAATTTTTTTCAATGAAGGAATATAGAAAAGTAAAGTTCAAGGTATTCTTTAATTCATGTTTAATAGAAAATTAAAATTCAGGGTATTCTTTAATTCATGTTTAATAAAATTTGTCTTTCAGACGGCAAATGGCTACATCTTGTTTTTTCATATTACATCTCCAAGAGGGGACAAGTACCTTTATGAACCAGTATATCCCAAGTAAGTTGTTTGCCTTTCATTATTTTAGTATTTGATATGCATACTTTATATTCTGAAGAACATTACAGTTTCTGCTTGTCTGAAGTGATTAAAGCTAAGCCAGCATTTCCAAAATATTGTTTTTAAAATAAGCAGGTCTTTGAACTGTCACTCCTTGAATAAAGAATGCTTAAATTAATTAGATATGTCTGGGACTCTTGATGAATAGACTGTATCCTTTCTTGGACATTCAGAATTACTAGTAATATACTTTAGGTCTAGCATTCTCTGGTCCTTTAGTAGGGAGGAGCTAAGAGATAATGAAGGAGAAGAGGAGAAATGTTAGTTATGGGCATTTTTGCCCATATTTTTGTATATGTTTTTGCATAGAAAGAAACTTAGACAGTTCTTACCTCTTGGTTAAGATTTGGGGGAAACGTGAACTTTTGTTCTTTGAATTATGTAGTTATGTGAATTTTGCATCATTTTTCTTTTATGACAGGCATTATTTTTGAATTAAGAGAACATAACATTTTAAAACTATGACATCTTTTTTTATAAAGATTCAGCCATAAAGCTGGATAAAATTATAAAAGAGTATTCATATTTCTTTCTAGATGATAGGAAACACCCAAAGTTTAATAAGTATATGGGAAATAAAAGGGAAATACATTTCATTATATGAAAAGTTTAAATTCTTGAAAATTGACAGAAAAAAGAAAAATCTTAAGCAAATAATTTGAAATGTATTTGTGGAAAATACAGCCAACTCTTACTATTTTTATATGGAGGAATCATAAATTGCTAATAAACACGCTAAGATATCCTAATAAGAAAAAAGGTAAAAACAGTCTCATAAGAGAAAATATAATAACTAACAAGCAAGAGAAACTGTTCAGGCCTAGTAGTAACCCTCCCAAAATAAAACATTACATACAACAATCTTTTTTAAAAAACACGATACATTAAAAAAAAAGTTTTTAGAAATTATTACTCAGTGCTAGTAGAGATATAGTAAAACTTGTATTGAACACTCTAATATACAAGGTGAGATAATAAGGAGTTGGTTAACAAGTTAATTGTGGTATATCATTCTCTTAAAGTGACATGTAGTCACTAAATATAATGTCTCAGAAAAATTTGTGAACTTAAGAACCTGACCATAATATAATGCCAAATGAGGAAACAAGTGACATAAGAATATATATGTAATATGATAGTATGTAAAACAAAGATCATCTAAAGAAAAATAGAACAACATAATACAACTATTTATAATAATTGCTCCTGAGTGGGGAAACTGTAATGATTTTTCTCTTTTCAACTCTTGAATTTTCCAAATTGTTTTTATATACATAGCTCATGGCAACTTCAAACTTTTGGATTCAAGAGATCATCTTGCCTCAGCCTCCTGAGTACCTGTGACTATAGCGACTGCAACACCTGGCTAGTTTTGCTATTTTTAGTGGAAACAGATTCTTACTCTTTCTCAGGCTAGTCTTGAACTCCTAAGTTCAAGTAATCCGCCTGCCTCAGCTTCCCAAAGTGCTAGAATTATCATGAGCCACTGTGCTTGGCCTTGTTAACATTTTTGAGAATACACTTTAGGAAAAGCTAATCTAGGCTATATAGAATATAGGTTAGTTTTTTTATTATAGATTCTAAGGGAATTTTTGGATGTTCTAAGCTACTTGTTTTTGACAAATATAGTGGTAATTGAAGTGTTGAGTTTTGGAAATATTTTTTAGAGTTCAGAAATTTCTTGATTATGGTATTTAATTTGATTATTTTTCAATAAAATGTTTTAATGCAAAAACCCTTTCAAAATGTACTAAAAATTATAGGGTAGTGCCTGTGGCTCAAAGGAGTAGGGCGCAGGCCCTATATACTGGAGGTGGCGGGTTCAAATCCAGCCTTGGCCAAAAACTGCAAAAAAAAAAAAAAAAAAAAAAAAAAATTAGAGGGATATTATGATGTATTTAGAAATTTTATATTCAGTTTTGTAAGTAGTTTAGTACAAAACTTCTTTTTCATTCTCAGTTATAATTTTGTGATCCTTTTGAAGAACTGTTGTGATCAATGACTAAAATTTGATTTACTCATGCATTTTGAACTACTCTTAATTCCTTTTAATAGCTTAATTAAGATATATTTCTGTAGATAAAAAGCAGTAGTTTTTCTGATTAAAACAAAGGACTTTAACTTGATTAAATTATAGTGTTGTAGAGGGTAGAGAAATTATTTCTCTTGAAATGGTGAAAATACTATTTTCTTTCTTTCAGTTCACTGATATATGTGTTATACAGTGTTTCAGAATAGTATTTGGAGACCCAATTTTTGTATTTAAAATGTTTTAAAAAGCAATTTGTTACCTTTCTCTTACTGCAGGGGCTGCCATTTTAATTAAGAAATTCTGACCATGCCTAAACTTTGTGATATTTGACTACCTATGTTAGGCTAGAGAATTAAATGATGCTTTTTTAAAATTTGGATATTCTTTTATTATATTGAAGATTTTATATTTTAATGACTGGGCTCAATAAAATGTACTTTGCCATATAGCAGTATGAATAGTAGCTAAACATACAGGCTTTGATATCAGATAGATCTGGAATTGTCAGCTCTGCTGCTTTTCAGCTATATGACTTCTTTCAAGTTATTTAATACCACCCAAAACTCAGTTTTCTTAACTGTAGAATGGAACAACAGTAATCATTTCGTAGGATTAAATGAGGTCATTCATATTTAATGCTTAGATAAGTTCCCTGGCTTATGGGAAAATCAGTAAAAGACGACTACTTTATCACTAATACATTTTTTTTTGCCAAATTTTTACAACATTTCTAAGATTTCAAGTGATTTTTAAAAAATATATAAATATTTTCTAATTGATAATGTACTTCTTTGCCAGAGTAATTGGTAAACTGGTAATTGCTATACAAAATACTTCTATAGATTAAAATCAGCCAGTTGTATATTTGCACACTAGACTACTTTCTAGTTGTGTTACTTACTCTAGTAAGTTTCTGATCTTTCTGCAGAACTCATTGGTAAAATGGAAATAAAAATAATTCTTTCTTTACTTGTTAGGAGGATTATGTGAGTTCATGTTTTTGAAACCTGAAAAACAGCAGTTATATAAGGATTTGAGGAAAGTAAAAAAAGTTTGGTTTTAAAGAGGTACCTTCATTGGTCATCTGTGACATTGTAAACATGCAGTTGAAGACTCTGTTCTAAGCATTTCTTAATACTGATTTAATCCCTGTAACAACGCTGTGAGGTAGTTGGATATGATTATTATATGGATTATTGCACAGAGAGGCCAAGTAACTCACTCTTAAGTTCACATGCTAATGAGTGGGTGGCACAGCCCATGATTCGGGCATAAGTGTTGATGCTCCAAAGCCTGTACTTTTAACTAGTAATATTTTGCTGCCTCAGCCATGTTTATGCTTCATCCAACCATGGACTTGGGGACTTAATTGGGGAGCAAGGAATGAAAAAAAGGAGAAATGATCTAGAATGTTTTATAATAGTCCTCAATAACAGAGAGAGGCAGCATAATTAAGGCTAGTAGTTAATCATTCTCTCAATTACAGAAATACTATTGTCTTATTTCTCTTTAAATCTTTGAGTTCATCACTTGAGTTTTTCTAGAGTATCTCTATGTTCCTGTATTATGTGACAGCATCTAACCTCAGATTGCATATCATTTTCCATTATGCTCTATCTGAGAACACAGGTCAGATGCCCCTATGATCTTTCATAGTTTCCACCTGATTTTGTTCCTAGCATCCCTCCTGTAGATATTGGTAGTGAGTATTCAACAATGGTGGCAGTCTTATGAAATGCTTCAAAGATTGCTTATTCTTTGATGAATGAACTTTCCTTTTCCTTATCTTTTGTTTTTTTCTTCTTCTTCCTAAGAGAAGGGTCTCACTCTATCTGTGCCTTGATCATACATTGTTTGCTGCAGCCTCTAGCTTCTGGGTTCAAGTAATCCTTCTGCATTAGCCTCCCAAGTAGCTGGGACTACTGGCATGTGTCACTATACCTGGTTAATTTTTCTTTTTTCTTTTTTTGTAGAGATGAGATCTTGCTCTGTTTCCTAGGCTGGTCTCAAACTCATGGCCTCAAATCATCCCCTTGTCTGCCTCCCAAAGTGCTGGGATTATGGGGGTGAGCCACCACTCCTGGCCTATCTTTCTGTGTCTTTATAGATCTCACTGTATGATAAAATACCTCTTCATACTAGTTACATGGACTCGTAGACAGACTTGACTTGTAGTTTGTCTTGGCTTTTTATTTTATGGGTTAGAAATTGTAGTGAAATTAAGGAAACTACAAGGGGTAAATAAGAAATAATTTGTGTTTGGCTTTAAAATGTGTACATGTGCTTGTTTAAATATGAATTTAGTAGATCTAAATCATATTTAATTTCACCATAATGAAAATTACTTAAATAAATCACTGTAATTTGTACTTTATTGAGGGCAGATGTTCCCCCCTCCCTTTTTTCTAGCCTTACATTACTGCTATTAAACTCTCTTTAGGTTAGAGACCACCATTTTTATTTTATTTTATTTATTTATTTGTTTGAGACAGAATCTCAAGCTGTTGCCCTCGGTAGAGTGCTATGGAGCGTCACAGCTCACAGCAACCTCAAACTCTTGGGCTTAAGTGATTCTTTTGCTTCAGCCTCCTAAGTAGCTGAGACTACAGGCACCTGCCACAATGCTGGGTGGTTTTTTGTTGTTGTTGCTGTTGTTGTTGTTGCTGATGTTGCCATTGTTGTTTTAGCTGGCTCGAGCTGGGTTCGAACCCACTAGCCTTGGTGTATGTGGCTGGCACCCTGCCCACTGAGCCACAGGTGCCACCCAGAGATCACCATTATTGAGACTAGGGTTCTAAAAAAATAAGAAAGTTATTATATTAAAATTCAGTACATTTAATTATCAAAGAGTAAAGGTATAGATACTGTCTTTGCTGAACAAAACTATTCCAAAACAACAACTATAAAA